CTTTAGAGTTTAAAAAAAAAAAAACAACAACCTGTTATAAAGAATATTTCCTCTATTTTTTCTTTTTTTTTTCTTTTAGGCAAAACATGTGCAGAGACATGTAAATGTTCTTTTTTTTGGTTTTATTTTTGTGTCTTTTGTGCAAAGACTTTGGATAAAAAAAGTTTGTATTTACATGTATTTCTCTCCCGGGTCAGATTTGATAGGGTTGAGATAAAAAAAGTCTGGACATTAGGGGGGTTATCTCCCTGATTGGCTTTGGAGGATAACCCTGATCACGTTGTGGGAGTCCCCGGCTCGGCTGGGAACCTTTCGGGTTCCCGGCATCATGTGACTTTGGGCCTGTTTCACCTACTTCTGCATAGTTGCTCATAAAGCAGCCGCGCCCATGGCAACCACCCTCCCCGGGGGCACTTAACAGTGTCGCGAGCTGTCTTTAACAATTTAAGGACATTTCCAATCAAGGGGTGGTAAAAAAAAATCTGATTATTCTCGGGAACATGGCTTTAGTTTGTATATAGCTTTATTTAACCGATTATTACCAATTTGCACGTACTGTACCTTTAAATCTGTAAGCTCAATAAGTTTAAAGGACATGGTTTTTGCATTTGTTTTGAATCCAATCGGTCCCATGAACATGAGCTGTAGGACGACTGGCCAGGAGAGACAACAAAGGAAAAAGAAACGAGTCTCTGCATCTTAAGTAGCTTTTTATATCAAACGCTGTTGTGACTTTGTCTGCTTTTCTTTAATGATCCGAATGAAGCGTTTGCCTCGATTCCCATTAGATTTTTTTTCATGTTTTGGCGTTTTCTCCACATTTCTCTGTTTTCAGTCCCTTCAGCAACTTCCTGTTTTGTTTTGAGGAGCACGTATCCTTACTTATCTTTTCTTTTTTAAATTTCCTGCCTCTGTGATCGGTGAAATGTGAAATTAAACAAAACTTTTTTTTTTTTAAATCCTTTATTCATCCCAGAGGGAACAGATATCACGTCTAACGTGACAGAGATGTGTATCGGTTCCCACTTTTAGCGTTCTGACTTCAGAGTCAGGTCCCTACTTGCTTATTCTGCTCTGGATTTAGTCGATTTGATCAAAATTAGCGATCGGCCTTGTTTATTTTTTTCATTTACACTCCAATAACTTTTAATTATCTCACTTTCTATAACCCTAAACGTGCTGTTTGGGTTCAGTTTCGATATGGAACTATGCAAATTTCCCCAAACAGGATGTTAAACATTTCTCTCCTATTCAGTTTAGTGACGGTTTAGAGTGAAGCGTCATTTTTATTTATGATTATATATACATATGAATCGGACACAGGAGGTGGGAATTCTCGGCCCCCTTTTAGAGGCCGGTCTAAAAACCCATTTGTTTGGATTCCCGTCCACCAACCACAAGGTGGCTCCTGCTCATTTCCCACCATTTTATCTGGAACATTGCTCTCATTTCCAGAAGCCCACGGTGTCAAATTACAGGCCGATTGGGCTGGACGCTCAGATTAGAAGGTTCTGCTTTAAACCCGTGTGGCCTAAAGGGCTGCTCGCTCTCCACGGGATTATTTTTAGCCCCTCGGAGCTACGAGGGAGTGTCGGAACAATCCAAACCGACTTCGGCACCTTTGGATTTCTCAGGAGGCTTTAATCTGCTGTTTAATATACAAGAATGTTGCTGTTGCATCTCACCAGTTGTCATTTTACTGAACTAACTGTTTATTTTACCTTAATTTAAAGTCCTTATTTGAAATTAAATCATTCAAAACTATCTATTGAATTTAGATTTCTGACCCGATCCGTTTTGAGGATGATTCTGATGGATTCTGATTGTTTTAACGTTGTTCAGTAATCCAATCCTGACACCCTCACCTTTCTAAGACTAATCTTTCAGGGACTTTTTCTTGTCTGGTCTGCAAACTTCTTTTCTCCTTTCTTGGATTCTCTCACAGATACTTGTTGCTCAAGCAAAGAGGAAATGTTTTTTGATGAATTCAAAAAGAGCATAAACCAAAATAAGCACAATGACTGAAGTTTTTATCGCAAATTTCCCAACTTCTTTGGAAATTTACTTTGTATTTGAAGGTTTTATAACAAAAAATATCAAACTTTTTTGCAAGAAACTGAACTGTTTTTTGTTGGATTTGTTAAAGTTGTGTTTTTTTTAAATAATTTCTAATCTTTTTAAAAAACTTTTTCGAAAAAAAACTTAATTTAAAGTCCTTATTTGAAATTAAATCATTCAAAACTATCTATTAAACTTAGATTTCTGACCTGATCCGTTTTGAGGATGATTCTGATGGATTCTGATTGATTTAAAGAGTCCTCCATGAGGCTGAGGCTGGACATCAGGGAACCAGGCGGGGTCCAGTCTGGGGTCAGCCTGGTGACCCTGAGGTCACGGGTTTAGATCGCTCCAAGTCCAGATGTGGAACAGCTGGTTCAGATGTGTGTTCACATGGATCTGGGTGGGGGGGGTTGGGGTTGTCCTTCCGTACACAAACGCAGAGGATTACTATTCCCCATATGAAGAGGAAAGGGTTGTCTATCTTCCAACAATGCGGCGGTATGTTTCGGTATGTATCAAGCTATTTAAGTTACTTGAATGAGTGTATTGTAAATATTGCACATTACTATTGATCACTTTTTTTATTTATTATATCACATCATTGTCTTACTATATGTCTAATTTATCTAACTTATCTAATTTATGTCTAATTTATGTCTGCACGGGAGAGCGAGAAGCGAAATTTCAATTCAATTGTATGATCAACAAATCATGTAAAGAAATTGACAATATAGCCTACTTGACTTGACTTAACTGAATCCAATTCACTAATTATGATCAAAACATGGTCAGTGCTTCAATTACAATGTGGAAGTCCAGTCTGGCCTGGCTTGGCCTGGCCTGGCCCGGTGTCGGGTTACAGTGGGCGTTAAGACTCTGGGCATATCTGTGTTTGTGTTTGATGTCACCCCCCCCCCCCCCTCCCGGGAGACGGCGGTCCGAGGGCCTGGGGGGGTGAAACCTGAGAGCTCCGTAGTAAACAACAACTCCTTTATGCCTGCTGCACTCACAGATCTCAGAGACAAAGATGAGTTTTTTTCTTCTTTTTATTTGGGGCTTGTGGGGGCTGAAACAGCTTAACATTATTGTTTGTTCATTTAAAGTTAGGATGATTTGAAACGATGGGTTTCCATTAAACCTGTGTTCATTCTGATAATAATCAAACTGAAGGTGATATCTACGTTAAACCTGTTGTTCTTCAAAATGTTTGTTATAATTTTGATTTTTTCAGGGGCTAATATCCGTTATTAACCATTTAAAACCCGATCCAAGAATAAAACAAAACAGAAAATTACATTTTTTTTGTTTGAATTCCTTATTTGGCCTTTTAACAAAATATGTACAAAGAAAAAACAGCAATACATTTTTTATGTTAATAATTCATTACTATGCGATAAGTCAAGGTTATTTTTTGTGTAGTCTCCTGCCCCCTGTTATCAGGTGTATCTGATTGTGTACAATAGGGTTTTGACTTTTTACCATTAAATTATGCAAAAGGGGTCAGATAATAGCAAATCCTATTTCAGGGAAAACTTTTAAATGTCCTAAAACGCAACAATAGGTACAATCTTATATTTGTGAGTTGGTTCAAACGTCCATAGACAAACCGACCAGCTTTATTCTTTTTAGAAATCGTGAAAATAATCTACAGATTGATGCTAAGAAACATGTTTTTTTGGTCTAACCACTCAGAAACTGAGTGACTGGCAATATCTGTTGATATTTTTCAGAGGAATTCAGACTATTTGTACTCTTTTAAATCTTCTTTATAAAAAAATGAGACTTTTGAAATGTAAGAATAAACTAAGTTTGTGGTCATCTTGTGCTGAGAGCTGTCTTTTATACCCAATCCTGACACCCTCACCTTTCAAAGACTAATCTTTCAGGGACTTTTTCTTGTCTGGTCTGCAAACTTTTTTCCCTTTTCTTAGATTCTCTCACAGATACTTGTTGCTCAAGCAAAGAGGAAATGTTTTTGATTAATTCAAAAAGAGCATAAAGCAAAATAAGCACAATGACTGAAGTTTTTATCGCAAATTTTCCAACTTCTTTGGAAATTTACTCTGTATTTGAAGGTTTTGTAGCAAAAAATATCAAACGTTTTTGCAAGAAACTGAACTGTTTTGTTGGATTTTTATTTAAAAGTTGTGTTTTTTCAAAATAATCTCTAACCTTTTTAAAAAACTTTTCCGAAAAATAAAATCCTTAAGCTTTTCCAAAGCTCTGAGTGTGCTAAACTGGGAATTTAATTATTATTTAATCCTACTTCCTGGAAGAAAACAGGTTATATGCGTATAGCTAATGTTCCCCTGGGGGTTGGAAATATTTTCTTCCTTTCTGGACTCACCTGTTCCTAAAGTTTCGGAATGAACTCGCACAAAGCTGCTGTCAAAGAGCGATTTTTTTTTTTTCTCTCTGGGGGCTTCACCTTATCTGATTCGTTGTGAGGAAAAACCGTGTTTTTATCTGGACCCTCCTCCTCCCTCTGCTGAATAGAGTTTGGACGCTCCACTCTTTTTTCCTTTTGTTGCTGAACGCAGCCCTTACAGTCCGGTCCCTTCCCCCTCCTCACCCTCCTCCTTTTTCTTTTCCTTTTTTTCTTTTCCACCCATCCTCCCATCGCTCACTCACTCCGTTTCATCCCCGGGTGACGCCAGTCCCTCTCTCTCTCTCTCTCTCTCTCTCTCTCTCTCACCCCGCCCCTGTTCGGCTCAGCGTTCATTTCATTCCTGCTCCCATTCCGCGCATATTTCGCATCCTTGGAGAGAGAGAGAGAGACGCTTGCGCGTTTTTACGCACTCCCGATTACGCGCCCGATTCTTCCTTCGCCAGAAAGCGACACGCGCCTCCGGTTTGCGCGCGAGGGGGCTTCCCGGTTTGCCGCTGCTCCCTCCGATCCACCGGGAAAAAAGTGTGGGAATTAATCCATTAAGAGGCGTTTGGAATCGAGGTAAGTTCCCGAACAGGAATCCCTCCCTCCCTCCCTCCACCTCCTCCTCCTCCTCTCTTCCTTCAGCCTGTAGCCTTAACGCGCCCGGACGTTTTTGCTTGTTTCTTTTATATAAAAACAAAAACAAAAACAACCTTTAAGTCATTCCCGGATCTGGGAATTAAAACAGTTTTGGCCAACACCCCGATCCGGAATATACGCGCGATACGACCCCCGAAGAGATGGGAAACAAGTCGGAGATGGGGCTTCCTCCACAGTTTGAGCCTCCAGTCGACACCGAACAGCGGACCT